GAAGAAGCACAAGAAGAAAGGCAGCTGTCAACGCTCCTTCAATAAAAAAGTGAATGTTCGTTTCCAGTTCACCTGAAGCACCAGCCTGTAAAGAGTAATAAACCATTGTCAAAGAGCGTTGAACAAATTCTGAGATAATGAAATCATGAACAAAAATAAATTTAAATCACTTTTCTATAAATTCAAAAAAAAAAAAAATATAATACATGTTAACGTGAAATTAATGAATAATCGAAAATTGAGTGAGGGTTCTTATATTTGATGATGTTAGGGAAAAGTTATTCTAGTATTTTATTCGATTTAAGAGAAAACGTGTCGTATCTTACCTAAGTAGAAAAGACGGAAAAGAACAAGAAAAAAATCTGGAAGATTTATTTTTCAGTTTTCATTTCAAGTATATCTTTCAGATTCTTCCAAGTTTTGTTGTACGCACAATGGAAAAGGAAAGTCTTAACATATGAATTTAAAGCATGCAGTTTATTGAAGGAATGAAGCTTATGTTAGCCTAGGTTATTCGCAATAATATAATTTATGGCAGTTTACGCCTTTACGCGAAGCGGTTCATAAAAAAACATAAACTGTCCCAAGTAATGTTTTATAGTGTAAGATGGATAAGAATATGTTTCATAGCTGATCATTTAATTTAACTGTTGACAATAAACCAATCTTTCCGCAAAAACAGCTTCAAATTGAGCATATCTTAAACAGTAATGTCAAGAGGAGTAATACATTTTTGACGTAAGTCAAATTGACGATACCAATTTGTTAAACAATATAAAGTAAATTATTTGCCCAATCAAATGATGTGTTACAACTATAATAAAATTACGCTTAAGGACAGATGATACAAACAAATTTTTTCTTTGAAAAAAGATTTAATATCATGTCACAAGTTTAGAAAAGTGGATGGTTCTTAGAATTTTTTCTTCTGAGAACTGGAAAATTCCGAAAATAGACTCGGAAAATATTAGTACTATTTCAATCAAAAATAAATATAGACAAAAAAAGATCAAAATAACAAAAAAAATTAGCAATATCACATAGGCTGATTTTTACCATTTAGCTTTTCCTTATAAAAATCACCTGGCTTGGTATATTTTTCTTAAGTTTATATGATACTTTTAGCACTATGTTAACATATTCTGAAAATTGTTTTCACCTGGAAACCTTTACTGAATGTGATTTGTCTATATTTGTTTTTTCATTGAAATATTACTAATATTTTCCAAGTCTTTTTCATATTTCAGTTCTTAAGAGATAACATTCTAAGAACCATCCACATTTCTAAACTTGTGACATGATGTTAAATCTTTTTTAAAGAAAAAAATTGTTTGTATCATCTGTCCTTAATTAATAAGAATCACCAATGTACATTCTCCTGTCGTGACGTTACAAGTTCTATTGAAGCAGTCATCACTGCATGTTGCGTTGCATCTGTATCCATGAACCCCAAATGAAGACTCTAAATAAACAAAAGTCACATATGTATATTTTCTAATCTCATGGAAAATGTGGAATTTTGGAGTGAATTCCAGACGGTTAATATACAATTATAGCCTTTTGATGAAGTCAATCCCTCGATATATAGGCCGTAGAGAAAGCATATCGACCGAGCACGAAGTGCGAGGTCGATATGCTTTGTGTAAGGTCTATATATCGAGGGATTGTACCGAATCAAAAGGCTATAATTGTTTTATTATTTTTTATCAGTTAATAAGAAATGTCTGAAAATCCTTCTTTATAATACGTAGTACTTTTTCGTACAAGGCATTGTTATGACATTGCATTATGACGTCACAGAAATGAAAACCAGCTGCAGTATCTGTTTTTAGGAACATCCAGTCTATAAAGACAATTGTGACGTCAGCACTGTTGCTGCTTCACAGAAGAACGTTTCCAATTTTAGAAACACTAGGTTTATAAATTTTAAAAATAGAAACATGCAGTATGTAACACGTTTTGTACTTTGTCATTTGATCCAGTTTGAGCCAATCAGATATTTGGAACAATAAAGAAAAATAATTATATTTATACGGAATAATTGCTAAATCTCCTTTACCTTCTACAGCTTGTATGTTATGTAATTAATGTTCCCGTTAACCAATTAAAAAAAATAATTATTTGAGGTATTTAGTTGCTTATTTTATGATCTGTACCTACAAGGATAATAATTAACAATAGGAAAGAAAAGGACCTGCATTTGTGATTCAATAATTTGGCCTTGCACAAAATCCCAATATCAAACTGTTAAAGAATTTTAATAAGTTGCGTTTGCATGGTGATTTTTCATGCTATATCCATCAATCTAAAATCGTATTGTAAAAATTCAATACAGTAAGACGTAAATGCATTAATACTATATAAAGATAAAAATTAAAAAAACATTAGTGTAATTTCCATTAAAACAAACTAGTATTTGCAAAATGCTCTTGAATTGTATCTGACGTCAATTATTCGATTATTATTTATAAAATCTCTGTATAATCAAGTTAATATACGAGGGTTGTTCAATATTACTGAGAGAATTACAGTTACTCCAGAAAGGACGGAGGTAATTTCATGAAAATTCATCTACAATTTATATAGAACGAATAAAACACATCTGCAAAATTTCTAATTTCTATGATAATAAGATACGTTTCGGTGAAATAATAAACATGCATATGTCTATAGACCCGGAGCAGCCTCGGCTACGTCATTTAACGTCACATTAGCACGAGATGGTTTCGCATGTAAAACGACGGGGAATGTTTAATACTGTACCTTCTTTGTTATTACACACAACATAACAAAAATCAAACATTCTCTTTTCTTAAACCTTTCTTTAAAAAATGCATTTTATTGCTACCCCTGTGTAAAATTTTCATTTGTGGGAAAAGATGACTAAGAATCACACAGTGCTGATTTATGCAACGCGGATCAACGATATTAACACCGTACGTAATAACTGATGGTCGTCTAAAGCTTTTGATTTCAGTCTGGTTGAATTTATTGTACATGTAATTCAAAAAATTGTATACTAATGAAATAACAAGCTCTAGCACGTTATTTTCTTCTCGTTGTAGAAAAGGGTTCTACTTAGAGCTACACAAAATTTTAGGTATGCTGGCTGGTCCGCCCTCGACGTCAAAATCCATTTTGTTGTTGTTACCTGTAGCAGATTTCTCTACTGCGTTTAATTGTTTTGATGAACTCTGTATTTTTTATCAAAATTCTCACAAAGTTGCACACTATGATTTTGAAATAAAACATGAAAATCATACGCATAAATTGAATCAGTTTCGTTCTTGTTATGGCTCCACGCAGAGTCAAAACATTGGTGCTACATATTTTCAATAGCCAATTTCGTGACTGATCCGGGTAACCCTACTATGGAAACATTTATCTACCATTGCGGTGAATATATTTATTTTTGTAACACAATTTGTGTTTTTTTTTTTATTTCTTAGTATATGTCAAACATATGTGCAAAATTTCACCGAAAAACGTTCAATTGAAAGCAAAATATACACAATGTCTCAATAATATTTGAACAGACCTCGTACGGTTTACTTGAATGCAGATTCATGAAAAAGTGATAAGATTGTGTTAAAAAACCATCATATTGCAAAACACGTTCTCAATAAAAACCCTTGTAAGCAGAAACATTACATAAATGTGCAGTAAACCTCATGAAATATATCTAAATTATGACATACATGAACATGTATCCCCGTATCAATTTAGCTGACCATGATATTTTGAACGTGCTGTCTCTATCTCAAATTTAATTAATTATATTGTGGCTATGTTTAGCTTCATGAATTTTTAAACAAATTAAATAGTTTTGAAAATATTATTTAATCAGAGGCACATTTAGATTTTAAATTAGTTTTGCCTAAGAATTACTTAAGAAGCAGTTATGGTTTTTGGTTTTTTTTAGCCCTTATATTCAATCTTCTTTTAAAAAAAATATTAAATGGCTGTAATATGAGTTAAGTAGTTGAATATGATAAAAAGAAAACCACAGCTTTTGCCAACTTCCATATTTGGATATACAACGTATTATGTAAAAAGCTTTGAAAAAAATCACATAGCTAAAATTCTTTGTGGGCCTTGTGCGAGCTGTATGTTGTCTGAACGAAATTCCTCTAAATATTTATGTCTTCTGCAACTTTTAAGAATATACAGTGAAACTATAAGTTCATGATATCACATTTTATATTTGGGGAGGTAAAGTTGGAAAAACGATTAATGAAATATATATTGAGATAACAAACAATATTCAAGATCAAAAGTCCATTTAACAATACAAAACAAGAGCTGGGGATATTCTGGACCTCTGAAAAATCAGCAGTGAGATAAGGTGCAATGGAGAAGAAAGAGCATCATTTGCACACCCGCCGTGTGTTCCTTATCACGATCGGGAAATAACGGAAAATTCAGCGTCAATTCATTGTGTAAATAATCAACTTATTAGTAGTATGAGAAAATTCAGTAAGAATATGACTCAATGATAAATTAATTGGATTTGCTGACAAGGTTATTGTATCGACCATAGAACTTACTAAATGATGACTTTAAACAAGACTGCTGATATTTTTGTTTCATCAATCATACCCAATGTACATATTTTAAATTTTATTAAAAAAATAAGAAATAAAAAAAAATGATGTAGTCCATGTAAAAATAATAATTTTCCTCAAAATAAATCGCCAGTATATTTGTTGTTTGTTTTGACTTTTAATTACAGAATTTTTATTAAAGAAATTTATAAAATTAAAAAAAAGTTTTAGATCTGTAAATTTTGTCTTATACTGGGAACCTTCGGCAATTGAGCAGAGAAAAAATAATCTTGCCAGAAATTACTGCGACATTGGACCTCGGTTTATACGTTTTGATCCCTTTGGGACCTATCTCCACGTCCCACTGTGGGACTCAAACCCGCAACTTTGATATCATTTTCGTACTTCACAACTATAGAGCAGACCCTCTAACCACTGTGCCATGCGGAGGACATTCTACTTTGTGTGGTCTAAATAGTAAAAGGCAGTAAAAGTCTTTGGTCCTGACATGTCAACCAGACATTGACCTAACAAGCTAGGTCCGAAAAGATCCATATCTGAGTTGTGTGTAATTTTACATAACTAGTAAAAAATACATTTATTTATATTTTTAAATCGTTTAGATTTAAACTGGAAAAACAAAAGGTTAGGTAATTTAATAAAGTCTAATTTAAAATTTATAAAAGCAAAGAATATTACCATTTTTACTTTTGTCACATCTTGACCCTTCCCACCCATCCTTGCATCCACCTTGACATAGTCCTGTCACTCTGTTACATCTACCACGGACCCTACAGTTGATGTTACAAGACTCCTCGCAATTGTATCCAAAGTGTCCAATGGGGCATTCTAGACAGCAAAAAAGGTATCTTATTTATACGATGAAGGGCAACCTTTTAAAGAGCAAAACATAACTTGATTGTGAAAAAAGTACTCTAAGGGGTATTTATACAAACTGAACATTAATAGTATAAACATATGCATACACAGGACTTATAAATCCATGCATAGCCATAAGAATCGTTCGTTAAGATAAATAAGGAGGTGTTCTAAGACGAGAAACACATAACAACTTCACGCAAATTTTACTCCACACAGATATATATGATGAAATCGAATTACATTCAAGCCTGAAATCCATGTTGACAATGGCAGAGGATGCTCACTCCTCTATTGCACCCGATCCCATCTTAATAGGTTGGAGGTCCATGAATGTTCTGTACCTATTTTGTATTGTTTATTGAAGTTTTGAGCTTGAATACTGTTTATTGTCTCCATATATTTCATGGGATCAAAGGCAATAGAAGAGTGAGCATCCTCACCAACCTGTCACAACATATGCATGTTGTTTGTTATAATAATGGAAAAATCATTCAACAGTTCAGTTTATATAATTATAAAAGTCTAAACATCATAAACGTATCAAATAATGTCAATCAGAATTTATTATGCAATTCTTGACATTGAAATAGATACTTTACCGTGAGTACAAGTCTCTCCTCGAAATCCTATATCACAACCTTTTAAACACGATCCATTGATATGATGGCATTGTTCAAAATTCAAACACCATCCGCAAGAAATATTGCAGTCAGTACCGTAAAACCATCCATCACATTCTGCAAGATTTATTAACCTTTACACAGGGAAATGTGTATTTCTGATAACATTCTCAAGACTTATTAAACTTTTCATCTCGTACATAAATATACAGAAATAAAATTACAATCGACAAACAATGTGAAAATGTGAAAACGTACCTTCTTCACATTTTGAACCCTTGTATCCGACAATGCATCCAAGACAAGTCCCCTCCACAATGTCACATTGACGCTCAATGCAATTCCGTGGACAAGGTAGGGTACAATTCTCTCCATAAACATCAGACATATTGCATCCTAGCATATATATTGCATCCATTTAGCATAAAACATTAGTCATTTTATGTAGAAAAATATATTAGTCTTGTATGTTTTGCTACCCCGACCTATTCCGCCTCCTAAATATTTATGATATAGTGTTATACATTCATGTTATATTTAAAGAAAAATAGGAATATAAAGATATGGCAAGTTCTTAATATTCATCAACTACTGCGAAAATTGGTTTTGAATAACTAAAATAAACACATATGAAAGTATATTCACAAAAGTTTTAGAAGACAATGATTTACTGCAGAATTTTTCCAGAGATTTTCTATACGAAGAATGTGAAAGAAATTGACAATGCATGTCGCCTGTAAGAAACACGATTGCTATAGCATTTGACAAATGTGAAAATATCCTTTTTTCTCAATATGAGATAACGCACACTCTTACCATAAACTTCAAGTTCACAAAGCTCGTTGAAAGCATACTGGGAATATCCCTCAGGGTAGATATTTCCAGGAAGTCTTTCATTGTAGTAAATGACGTATCGTCCATTCATTACACATTCTATCGTTATATTACTAGGTATTGTCTCCTTGGTGTAATTTGTGTCCTTAAAACATAGATTACCCTCTTCCTTGTTGGTTGTGTTCGAAACGTAAACCGAGAATCCGAGAAATCGTTCTGTATAACCATTGGTCGAGTCTAATGAATAATGAGAAAATAAAATTAAAAAAAAAATCCTAATCTATCACTTGCTTTTTAAATGAATTTTATGGTAAAGTTACATTCCATCAAATATTCATGAAAGGGTTAGACGAATACCTAAATCTATTTCCGAACCCTTACCTGCACCCCCTTCCTACCCCCACCCCCTTTGCTTAGAGACAAGAGAGGTAGAGTTAAAAAAAATCTGTTTTAACTTTTTCATTTTTAGGTAGGATGTGAATTTAACAGAATAATGACACCTCAATCCTACATAACTTGTCTTCATTGTTTTACTAAATCGAACCAAAATACATTTGCGTTTTCCTTTTGGACAGCACTTTGATTATTCAGTTAATTGAGAATTTTAATGTACAGTTGATGAAACACCTAACAAGGTTAAAGTCTAATTGGTCCTCTATGTCTTTGTTAACCTATAAAACATGGTTGATCATAAACTATAATTTATTTAAAATCTGATTTCTGAGATGAATTATTTAACAACATTTACAGTCATTTTTTTGCAAGAAATTGAAATCACCGAAATAACCTTAAGGTCAAGATCTAGTAAATAACTTGAGACTAATTTTTTGGTGCTAGATCCATTATGACGTCATAATCAATTTCAACTTTCTTTTTCCCGTACTTTACGGCTTTAGCAGAATTATGTAGAAAATATGGTATTTTCATGTCATTCAATTTGAAATCATATGAAAAGTAAACCGGATACCTATATTAAATTTCATACTGATTTAAAGAAGAGGCCATGAACATACTAATTACCGTTTTCTTCGAGACTGTAGGCAATCTGGATACATTTCCTCTGCCGAATACGAAAAAAACTCCCATATTTATGACTGGTTTTCTTAATTTTTCATTGAAAATGACAGTTTAAAATACAGTTTTTCATCTTGTTTACCTACAAATTATGCCCCGAAACACCTTATTTGACCAAGATTAAGTTGTAAAGCATCAATAAAGGAATTTATTTCTCAAGTTTGATAAATCTGTAGGCACCTTTCATTTACTAGATCTTGACCTTAAACATGCCATAATGTTTAATGTCAGCAATGGATGAAACATTTTTTGGGGGAAATGGTAACAGAGAACAACTTTTTAATTGACGCTATATTTTTTATGTTAGATAACTTGCAATTAAAAAACATCATCATATCAATCAATTATAATGATTTGCTTTTAAATATATCAATTTTTATAGCGTACCCCACTCAAAATTATCTGTTCTGTAGTATATAGTTATATGATGTATCCTAAACACTCCTCCTAGATCCACCCACCAGGTGGCATTATGTTTTCTACTGTCAGATATCGTACAGTGTTCTCCAACAGGTGCTCGGTCTGAATACCTCCCATCCACAGCCTTATCTGCTCCCCAAGGCAGGTTGCTCAACGGGAAAAACGGATACTGCTGTGAGGCATTCTTTCCTAGAGCGATGTTGTCTGTTAAAAATTAAAATTCTCATGTACAATTTAACTCAATGTTCCTTATTATCAACAATTCCAAATTAATGGTTCTGTATGTGGCGGTTGTATATATGTGTGTTTTAGTTTATTTGTGTGTACAGTTTTCATTGCGCCTATCGGAAGTGACGTAATTCGCCCAGAAACCTACGACGAATACTGCCTCGATTAACTTCTATGCAAGGGATTGCACCTCTTCCTTTTGGTGTTCGTGTTCTTCTCGTTTAAAATCACTGAGTATCAAATGATACATAGAGATTCAAAGGTATTTAAAATCATATAGTTTCATTGTTTGAGGTATATATATTGTTCATTGGGACTTGATTCCTTGGATGAGAATTTGTTCAGTAGTAATATATCTGGAAAATTGCATTTCGTGCTGGACATAAGTTCGTAGGTCATATCATACTTTGAAAACCATGAAAATTAAACCCCCACGAAAATTAGTGCTTTCACAGTAAGTTCGTCGTTTGACAAACTGTGTATATAAGGTTTAAGTATGTTTTAATTCAAAACCTACACTTAAAATGTAAAGATATCCTTCACAAACCCTAAGAGTAATTTTTTTTTAAATTTCAATAACTGTATGTACTTTTTCATAATATGATATTACACTAGAATGCCCTTTTTGCACAGAGAAATCATTGACTTTTCCATCGTTATATTGGTTTTCAAACTATTTTTAAGAAAATTGAATTCATCTGCCATTATTTGTGATAACAACTACTTATATTTCGATTTTAAAATTCTGTCAGTGAAATTTAGTTTCGAAATAAGAGTTTCTAAGATCGGATCGCGTAATTCTAAACAAAACGTAAAATTCTCTTAACGCGCGATGTTTAGCTTCAGATTTTTCATTATTTCTCATAAGTGATAAATACAAAAAATTATTTCTATTCCTTTGTGAGTTATTTACGTGTTTCTTGGAAGTATACAGAATTCTATTCGGAATGTCTTCTCTCTTTCTTCTTTGATTGGTAGAAAATGTACGTTGAGAAAAATTCTTAATCGTGTAATCAATTTAAATACTGTAAGTTTGGGAAGATCTTATTTTCGTAAGACTTAATAATCATGAATTAATTTCAATCTTTAAGATAAATTGATTAACATTACATTATAATTGCAGAATGAACACCGTAATAAATAAAGTTGACATTCATTTACATATTTTTAGATTATTATTAACTTGTTCTAAATATACAATGTTTGTTAGAAAACATGGCGGACACGTTCAAAAGTAAACATGATATCTGCATGTTTTTAATATATAGATATACTTAATCTATTATAATATATATGCAAACATTATGTATTTTCCGATGATCCTTAAACATTAAACAGCTATATCATTTAGATAGAGAAGGATTTATGAAGCATGTCGTTTTTCCGCACGTTTATTAAACATGGACATTTTTATTGAATTAAAATTTGTTGTTGTTCATAAGTATTTAATGTGATATTCAATCTATCGAGAGAGAGAGAGAGAGAGAGAGAGAGAGAGAGCTTTTTAGCATACCATAAGCAGAAATAAAATATCCTGCCAACAATACCCCAACACACATGAACATCTCCGCTCCACCATTTTTTCGTTTCATATTATATTAGTTGATTCCGGCAGTATGTGTTTTTCTATTTATAATCCATGGCAGATAAAATATTATGTGTTGAATTCACTTTTTAAATCTACAAATAATTTGGCATTTGTGTGTGTACAGAAGAGCAAAATGATAATAAATGTCACATCAAATTGTTGTTTATTTATTTCCTTAACTCTTACCTCAAAGCTTCAATTAATTTCTGTTCAAAAGCACAGTTTTTGAAATAGACAAAGAACAGTTGTTAAAAAAGCTTCCTGTAAATATTATTAATGCCCAAAATGCTTGGTATGATTGAAGAATATAATCATTTAAAATTTTAAACTTCCTTTATGCTCCTTACAATTTAAAATCAATGGAAGTTTGAAATTCAGAATAATAGCAAGATGAATATATGTTGTATGTCTTTGTACCTTAAGCCATGTCAACCGCCAACACATGAAAAAAAAATGATCAAACTTCTAATTTAAAATGATAAAAATAATGATATGATATTTTTGAATTAAACAATGCAAATCATATATAATTTTCAATTTAAAAAAAAAACTGAATGAATCATATATGATGACCGTCAAGCAAAAACCACCTTTAAGTCAAAATTTTGACATTTTGAGTTGTTGAGTGATCCTGATAGACAATTTTCTCCTCTTTTAAATGATATATAACATGCCATTGTTCAGAAACTAAATATTAGTGAAATTTTTCAAATAAAAAATACAAATTATTCGTCATGACGCTGTGTTTTAAGGGAAGACGTCAATTATTTTGTTATCACACTTCTGCACAAGAAAAATCACCTCGGACAACAAATGACATAACATAAGTGACTTTTGTTTTATTTAATTACATTGTTATTGTTCCTTTTTATGATCGATAATTTTAGCATATTAGAGGAAAAATTAGGGTTTTTTTTATTACCCCCCTCCCCTTAAAAAAGAGACACAAGATGGTTTTTTTTTAACAATCATTTTTTTCTTTTTTTTACGGGAGGAGGTTTATTGTGCCTTTCATGCCCTTTATCTGTTTATACATATACGTATGGTCGCCGGAAATCCCCCCCCCCCCCCCCCGCCAAAAAAAAAAATACACAGATTAGATTGATGGTTTGAATACTCTTTTGTTTCAGAAGTTTTTTCATCATTTTGTGATTGGACAATTTGAACAATTTTATGATCTTGGTATGTCAAGTCGACATATGAATGAAAGTTACTGAACATTGCTAATTGATAATACATGTTTGTTGTCGATATCTAAATTTATAAGGCCACAGAAAAACTTTCCTCTTTCCCATGTATGCAAATTTGAATAAATTCAGAATACGGAAATTATGTCTGCTAATAAGAGGCATTCTGATAACAAACGGCCCTATCATTTTCCATACGGAGACGCTACCGCTTTCCGGTGGAGAAAAATTTTGTCCTATACTCGGCCTTTAGGGCCATTGAGCAAGTAGGGGCCTTTTTCGTGCCAGCGCCTACTGGGAAACGGGAATTCGGATTATACGGTCTCATCCGAAGAAACGGTCGCCATGTCCTACAGTGGGGTTGAAACTGGCGACGAGAGAGAGAGAGATAGAGTATCATTTGATACATAAATTAAATCAAGACGTTCGTCGAAAATACTTTCTGTCCTTGTGGGGTTTTTCCCAAATGAATTTATTCTTTTATGAAGCAGTTTGAAGAACAGATTCGATTGTATCTTTCTATTAATCTCACTCAAATGGCCTGAAGAGCTTTATCAAAGTAGTTGTCCTCTCTGACCCTGCATTAAAGATGCATATAATAAACATTGCTGCAATATAATTTATACCCATTGAAAATTTAAATTTGACGCTGAACTTCCAGTAATTGGAAGGACCCCTCCCCTCCCCACCTTTCTTATGTTCTGCAAATGTGCACTTGCATATAGGAAGTAACATTTTTGACTGATAGCAACATGATTAATAAATATCTGTTTTAGGAAAAGAATTATTTGAAAATAATTGACAATGTGTTTTTGCTGCTTGATTAATTGTAGAAGACGATTTTGCTAAAATTAACACAATTAAAACATTACCTACATGCGCATTTCTGTCAGCTATGCAGATAAAAATGCATTACCAGGATTGAATTCGTAATTTGCAGTGTAGCTAGGGTCCATATTTTTTTTTTTAATGAAAAGATAATTATCAGGATGAAGACTTCCGCACAAGATCAATTTAGAGGGAGGGGTACTGCTGCTTTCTCCTTTATGCACGCATTTCGGCACCTGGCGTGACAATCATTTTTATATTAGAAAGAAATGAAATATGAAGCATTGTCACATGTTCACTTTTGAATACGTATAAGCGGTATTTTTAGCGAAGATTTAATTTTGGCATTATAAGCCAGGGTGCAAAGATCGGTAAAATTGAATATCGCTAAAAATTAATTGCGCTATATTTGTTATAGCTTCTTAGTGAACTTTCTAAAATAGCTAAAATTATATCTCGCTAAAATAAAATACCAATTTTTAGGGACAAATCGCCAAATTTGCGTCTCGCTAAAATTTCCACTTATACGGTAACACCTGATTTCGGTTATATAATTTTTCCTAAACTACACCTTCGGAAACTGACCAAAATATACAATTTTCGTTAAATTCTGGATAGATGCGGAAACGAGAGTGACATGAGACAATTCGTGCAAAAATCATTGAAACAATTTCTCTTGAGAAAGAGAAAGAAAGAAGGAGATTGAGCATTATATGTACATGTACTATTTATACCATACTTGGCCAAATATGTTCTCCAAAAACATGGTAGGTCAACTTGTCTTACATGTACATGCACGTGGTGCGGAATCGAAGGTGCATAAGAATATTCCAGTGCATAATGCACCTGTCATAAATCTGTTGAGTAGGGTTGCACCGATTGTACAAACAGCCTTGAATATGGCGTTCATCCAACTGTGTGTCCTCTTCCTGCTGGTTTATCCTCCCTCCCCCCCCCCCCCCATACACACATGAAATTCGATTTCCGAGTTTGGACTTTTTTTTTGCTTGACTGTCAACTTTTTTTTCAGTTAAGTTAATATTTTTTCCTTGGCTGTCCCCATTTCAAAATCGATGCTATGTCACTGTACAGTTGTGTAATAGTGGTTGGATTGGTTGATTAAATGAAAAATTAAAATAGCTTAAATAGACTTATTAGCCGCATGCTTAATATTTCATCAGTTTCAAGTTTTATTTGAATCAATTTAATTAATTTTATTTCTATAACCTAATGAAAGTATAATATTCTGTACTCCCTCTACCACGTAGACTAGTACTGGGATACAACACAATTTAGAGATTAAGTGATTTCATTTTCATGATCGATAATTTCTCATCTTTTCCTAAAACATGTAGGTTGCATTCGTCTTCGATTAACTGATCAAAGGATGTTGCATTATTATTCCAACAGATTAAAAAATAAAAAAAATATATATCAATTTGTTTTTTAACTCTTTTTTCAGCAAATATTTTATAGACTAAGTACTGTAATTAACAGTTCCTACTTTCCCCACTTAATATCAAAAACATTCAAATAAGAAATACACAGATACCGAACAATCTTTGGAAGAGGTGATGAATAATGAACGCTTCCTGTTGCCAGGTAACAATAAATAATTACATAAGCTACTTCCCTTCATTAGCGGTATTTGTACATGTTGACATGTTAATATACATGTAGATTATTTCAGGCACATAGGAAGCGATTCATTTTTTATTTCTCTTTTTTTTTTGGGGGGGGGGGGGGTTCTTGACAATTGTGAAGCAATAAAAAAGCGAAACAAAACGAACATTTTCATTTGTTATAGTAACCGGCCAAATTGTACGGAGGGCTTTGTTTTCCAAATTCAGTTAAATACTGATAAATTATATTTCTGTGACCCGCCTCCCTGTTCCTTCATGTTTATTTTTGATTTTTGGAACATAATGCTGTTTAGCAATAAAGTGACACATCTTTTTATGAAATCCAACGCCTTGGCTTTACACTTTGATTAGGTTTTCTATGCTTTTTATCATTAATATATAGACATGTTAAATAAATAGTGACAAAAAATCATGTTGAATAAGAGTAGATCTATGTTCTTTTGTTTCTGTCCTAGCCTCAAGATAATATGCGATTTCTCCCCCATATTTGTGTTTTAGAAGTCAAAAGAAAATGCTCCTCGAAAATGAAAATAAAGGCAAAGATCTTGGCATTTCCTACTTCAAAATTAAGATTTTCACCATCAGTTTGCTGTAAATCATTTTTTATACTAACCAGTGACCTTTAATAATTACAATTACGACTACTCATTATGTTGTTTAGTATAGGCATTTACTGTATGAAGAAATATTTTAATTAATTATGCATCTTCACTCTGCATTTATTTGCAAAATGCGGCAAACATTTATGACGTCAACTTTAGCGCTCGTTTTCTCGATAACGTCATAATGCAGATAAGGATGGTTTTCGCTTGACGGTCGTCATATTGAGATAACGAACAGTATACAATCTCAAAGTCCATAAAACAATTTTAAAAAACAAGAGCAGAGCAGAGCAAACAGATACCTCCGAAACATCAGAGGTGGGATCATATGCCATGGACGAATGAAAGAATTACAGTTTGCGCTCAATGAGGACCTTGTTGCAGTCTTATTGCAAAATACCAATATGTGTTCCTAAATTACGAGGGAGTATAGTTTTTCAAATGTTGTAAAATTATCGATGATGATACATTGAACGTCAAAAAACACTGATTTTAAAAGTAGGGTCATATTCTTCTATTTCTTTAATCATTCAATAGCGTGTACTTTGTATTCTGAAATTTCTATATGCTGGCAAGGTCATATGAAGTTTCTGAAAATCCGACAATTACAACAAAGGGAGGTCAAATCTTGAAAAGACAAATTAATGTTGATTTTTGCTCCCATTCCTAATCGTTCCTTCGACATTCTAGCTTGACCTGATATGGAGTTTCGGGTTGATATTGGATGTGATTAAGATTTTGGCAGTATTATTCTCTAAATTATATCTCCAAAACGAGTGTTGAGGCATATTGATTGCCATATCCGTTTTAGCATATGCTATTATCTTGAATATTAAATAATTCTTGAGAGTATAATAAAACAATTGTTATTTATATCCCTCTATCAAGAGGGCAAGACATGCCAAGGAAACAAATCATGAGTACATCGACGGAAGTTTACTCAAGGATGTGATGCAATTATCAATTGTATAGATATGGATTATACTAGGAAAAGGACGGGTTCGTGAAATGATTCACTGAACTAAAAACTAAGACGTCAAAATAACTTCAGAGAAACAAAAGTACGGATGTACTGAAAAACTGCAATATGTAACTAAATAACATAACATATCTTTTCATACATTATCATAATAAAATATATACTACAAAACTAGTCCGAAAAATCTGAGGTTTTCCTGGCATTTTACGATTTTGATATTTTACGTGCCAGTTTGCAGGTATTAAAATGAACTCCGGTTGGAGACGGCGAAATTTCCATTTTTCGTGATGTCGGTTCTGACGTTTTCCTGGCAAGTAATTAATTAATGCAGAAATCGCTGACGTCTATTGGAACACGCTTTTTTTCTAAAATAAGAATTTACATATTAAGATTATCAAACATGCTATGGTGAATTGATGTATCGATTAAAAATTCATTTTCTACCAGAGAGATTTTTTTTAGAATTGATTTTATTGATTAACAGCAGAGGGAAATAACTCTTCAAAGATAGGTAAAGGTAAAACATATAGGACATATTCTGTTCTTACATACTGAAACTAAGACACAAAGATCATGTCTACATATACTGAGCATACTGCCAATATGAATATCATTGGCATTCGGACTAATTGAATCTAAGCGTATTATGGGTCTGATACCATAACGTAGAACCTACGTCGTATGACATCATAACTAATGAATGTGTATAGCCTGTGATAGATCCATAATGACGTCATAATCAATTCAATGTCACTTTTTCCCCCGTACTTTACAGCTTCAATAGAAATGGTAGAAAGTATTGCATTTTGAAATTCACAGAATTCATTTCAAAATCATGCCGAAATAATCTTAATTCAATTCATATATTTTTTGGTTTATAATGCTTAATGACAATATATTTCTAAAATTAGAGAAACCTGCAGGCACCCCCCTTTTTTTTTTTACTAGACTTTGACCTTAATTAAGTTGACAAATCCAAGACTATCTTGTGTAATGAATTTACAGTGTATGCAACTTATTGTAATAATTTGAATGGTGTGTGACCATTTTGAATGAATGCAAAAATCCTAAGAAAACTTCAGTTACCTACTAAATAGTGTAATATCTTGATGAAATGTGTCTAAGTCAAAGGTCTAAGTGTTGTAGATCGTGTTTACATTTTTGTGATGTCTATAATGAACCGACGTGCATTCCCTTCATAATTATTTGTTACTTATTCATATTCTTAGTGTTTGATTTCATTTTTTTTTATTGAATATGATCCTTTCAAATTCTAAGTATAATTTTTGATAATCATTTTTAATCTGAAAGTAACCCCAAAAAGTCACTTAATATAAATCCCGTGTAAGTGCAAAAAGGTCAAGAATAGTAGGACTGGTAAATAGCCTATCTCTCATTAGTTAGGCGGGAATGGAATATATTTTAATCATTTTTTGTAATCATTTGGGTATGTTCCTAATAATATTAAAGATTGAAAACATTGTGACAAAGACTTCTAAATTTTTTTTTTACAAATGTAGGGTGGAAAATTGACTTATGAGATCATTTGCCTAATTATTTTTAATGAGGACTTTTCGTTTTTTGTCAATCGAATAAAAAAAGAAATTATTCTTGAGAAATATTGCTTAATATTGTTCAGTTAATAAAGTCTATAAACGGCGGTGTTTGAAGAGGTATTTTGGGGATTTTTCATATTCTTTTCTTGACAAGTACCCCTAAATATAACTGGAAATGTGTAGTCGCAGTACATGTATGTAATTACCATACCAAGTTTTACAGGCTGTACTAGATTTAAAACCAAGGATATATATCATGAGCTTTTATCTGATGGATACGCAAATACTAATTCATCAATTTGAAAAGTTTGAAAATCTTGAGGTCATTTCTTAACGGTTGTCAAATTCTAGGACTCACATATTAAATAATGTCCCCTGGGACTCTCTTTTTTTTTTTACATTTTTTTTTCTACTGGTGGGGGTCATTTTCTGTTCCCCCGACATTATTTGATGGGCTCATTATTTGTCTTTACACCAGATAGTTTAGCTACGGATATATGTTTTGCCGGAAATATGCACTTAATATAAAAAAACATTGTTACTCTAACTAATGACCTCACTCATAGAGGGTTAAAACGACGTGAGAAAAACATTTTTTTTAGTTTTCTTCCTGGAGCAAAAGCATTTTTCATGTATCGCCATGGACAGTAGAATAGTGTTGTTTCGTCTTCTCACAAAATATCTTACCATCGGGATTTTTGCAACGGCATATGGTAAGATCATATCATTTTTTAAAGTAGTTTTAAAGTTCGAATTATTTATGTTTTTCATTTTCTTTTCTTTTATCTTAAATAAATATGCCAATGCAATTGTTTTGTTAAACACGCTTTGATTGACTTATGCACTGATGTTTGAAGCAGTAAAACTAGCATTAAAGCATTTCATTGTGACGCCATAATAGAGCGACGCAAAAACACAATGATACAAAACGCAGCAAAATAAGACGTAAACAACACACAGAATGGATTGATTGCATAAGAATGGTAATAGCTACAATGTATCTTCTAACTCGGTATTTGCTACCGTTAGTGCTGACTTAATGGTAGAAAACATAAGTTTGCGACCGTTAAATCAACATTAACGGTCGAAAATTTAAAATAAGAACATAGTTATACGATAAATCTATTTAAGCTAACCGATTAATATATTTACAAATCTAGGAAAACAAAGAAATCATTTTTATTTGTTGTATTTGATTGAACATTTACAATAGGATTCTTCTCATGTTTCCTGTATTTAAAAATTAATGAAATTTTCACAGAACCAAGAATACATATCACAAAGTCACGGTATCAGCGAAATTAAATTTGACGGTTTATATTAGAGACAAGGTCATGTCAAGATCATTACCTTTTCCTTGGACATCAGTAATAAAAAATTACTGTTGTCAATTATGCGATACCTACTTGTATTTCAATACACTGAATGTCTTTCTTTTTGCGTAAAAAGATACTGCCATAACGGGCCTAGAAGATGATATTACCAAATCTACATATATAATAAAGCTTAAGTGGATATTGGCTCATCAGAATTTTCTCCACTTTTTAAATTTTTTAAAGATATATTGGATATTTTTATATGTTGCTTATACAGTGAATTTACTTTTTTTCACATTTTCATACACGGTAAAGTTGTTACATAAAGATTCAAAATGATACAAAAACAAAAATATTTCATGCTTTACTAAGAAAGAAAAATGCTTTTAACGGATTTTTGGCTCAAATCTGTACTCATAATGGAAGCTCATAAAAGCTTACATAATTCTAGTTTGTTAGAAAATCATATGCACGAGATTTGTATTTGGTATATTTAGAAATTTAAATCATTATTTATTAATTAAACTTACGTTTGAAAAGTTTTTCAAGTCTTTGACTGTGTGAAAATCATAACTAAATTCATTGTAATATAATAAAATGTGAGACAGAAAAAAAAATGCCACCAATCCGCCTAAAAAAAATCCCTGCTAATTTTCAAATGTGGTTTACCATTTTTATTTAAAGTTGTACAATTGTGACGAGGAAAGAGAAATGTAGTATATCAAATCACTTACACCTAAATATGTAAGGCAACTTAAGGAGGATCAAGGACCTTTAGCTGAAAAAATACCCGTCGTTCAATTTTCTTCATATTTTATATATCTCTGATTTAGTATGTCCGACATACCTTAAAGCACACATATCAATAGGTTTCTAGACTTATTTCTGAGATATTAAAATATTTCAAAGTATGAATATGGTTAAAAATTCGAAAAACCATGATTCTTTTGTCACACTGCATCTGGAGACGGAAAATTACGTACAATTTAAGACAACGTAAACAGCAAAAAAAAAAAAATTCATTTGCAAAAAATCCTATCATTCAATAATTGAAATTTTACGTTGAAATGCAAATTCTTCATGCTATTGATTAACTTTGTAAAAATATCGATTGGAGAAGCTGAATTAAACAAGACATGAGCATGAGAAAAATATTTCATATTTACATTTCTCGAGTACGGGAAAACATAACTATGAAGTCACACATTTGCAAAATAAGCGAAATAAGACTAGCTACAAAAGATTTCCGTCAACAACCATGTAAAAAATGTTTGTGTTCTGTATATCACAAAATACCCCACCATATATTGATCAGACATGACCTGTTTTTATGATATTACACTACCCGTGTTTTGCCGTGTATAATCTTACTGTACTAAGAGAACCAATATGACGTCAACGACTCCTTGGACGCGCAGTGTAGGAAAACAGAAGAGTGGAACAATCTATTTCAATATTTGATAATATATATTTTTATACAAGATGGTGAACTCAAACAAACAGTTTTTTTTTACATATAACTGTTTCCATTAAGAAAGAGGATTTTCTATTCGTGTCCTCTTTTTTGACATCAAAATGAAAAATCAAGACAATGCAATTTCAGTAATCAAGATTTTTTTAATTCATTGTCATGTTTGAATACATTGAAAATTGGTGAGAAAACCAGTTTTTATGTTAAAACAGACAAATCATTAATCGGTTTTCTATATTAACAGTCAAATATTGGTGAATGCACCAATTTGAATTATCAATATCTTCAAATAAATATTGATCTTGGTGGTTCCACCAAAAAAAACAAGATTGGATTTACAATACTTAATTCTCTAGTTAATTCTAAGAATTAGTGAACTAACCATTCAGCTACTTGGTGGATCCACCAAAAATACGAAGACGATTGCCTAAGATTACATAAAATAGATATAGCAAGTGTATTTATCAGTAGTGAGGATTTTGGTGGTTCCACCAAAAACATTAAATGTGGTGAAATTCCCGATAACATTTTAAAAATGACGTTGGTGAATCCACCAGTTATAAATACTGAAGCAACCCATTGAGAGAAACTGAGTTGTAGAACAACATAAAAAAACGTCCTTTATACAGAGTCGGTGCACTCACCAAAATGCAAAAATTCAACTAACAAGACATTCATAAATTTCTCTAACAAATACTTGGTGGATCCACCAAAAATACAAATAGAAATCCACAAGAATACTTAAATGATACACGGTCAAGACTACCTTGTATTTACTAACAGTGGGCAGTTTGGTGGATCCACCAAAGACATTAAAATCAAAAGGCAATCATAATTTTCTTGTAAAATAACTAAGAGACACTTTCTTAATACATTTATGTACACAAGAACAAAAACCTGGTGGGTCCACCAGAAAATTCGAAAATTTCCCTGTAACTCAAAGATCAACTAATTTGCCTCTAAATATAGAAAGTCGTTTGGTGGACTCACCAACCTGTACAAAAACAAATTCCTAGGCTTTCTTAATTTCACTAACAAGTACTTGGTGGACCCACCAAAAACAAACAGAATACTTGAATGATATATTATCAGCATTGCCTGTGCAGTTAATTTTTTAGAGTGGGGAGTTTGGTGTGTCCACCAAAACATTAATCAAAGAAACATTTGTAGATTTCCAATTACAATGACCAAGTTCCTTTCTATATATATGAACAAAAAGTTGGTGGATTCACTAGAAAAAGTCGAAAATATACATCTTACACTCTCTTTACTTTTTTGATGATACATTCGCAATTCAATAATAAGTGGAACTATAATCATGTGATTAATATAATTATGAAATACAATTTCAAAAATGTGTATACATTTTCAAAACAAATGTGAATCCTCTAATTAAGGCAAAAGGTTATATAAACATTGTATAAAATAACCTGCTATATACTGTTTTATTTGCATGTTAATAAAAAGAATAAAAAACAAATCTTTCCCTAATTTTTTAACCTAAAAATACTTAGTTTGTTTCTTTAACTCCCCTGTGCTGTTGGCGATTTTCCATGTCTGCACCGACTGTATTACACCTTGTGCAATGGGGTGCGAACCCATGCATGACACTTAAGCAAACTACTAACATCGAAGTCCAAAATATGTTATTGGGCTAAATATTTCAATTCATTTACTCCCTCTATGACTTTTTTTTTGAAGCAATCAAAATACATTAACTCTAGTACTCTCAAATACACATATAGAAAGCATTAGGAATGAGTGCTGCACAAGTAAAAGTGGCAACCATGAGAATCAACACCAATAAAAATAATAAACACAGCATAACCTTTAAAAATAGATAATAAATTCGTCATATATAGACAACGATTATGTAATCATTCCAAATAGAATTAAAAATTATACATCCAGGTCCAAACAATCACAATCGCAAGAGCTGATATAATACATTTTATCCCTAACATTGATGTCCCTTTTCACATCTATGGCGTGGTTTGCAAGAGCGAAGGCCCAAATTCTGATATGAACTTTCATTGACTCGTTTTAGCCATCCTTTCATAAATAAACTGTTGAATGTTGAGTACGTAATTCCTCTTGATTTTTCTTGAGTAAAAGAACAACTTTTGCTTTGAAATGTGAAAACTATCATCACAATATAACACCAGTGATATCTTGTTTAACACTGTTTTCTGGTCTCTTTACAATTGTATTTTTTAGACATCTCCGTGTTTGCTGTTTCTAATCCTGAGACATCTTGGTACGTAGTTGCAGTAAAGCTGTACTTATCACTATCGTCTTATGCCCTATGATAAAAGTACATGTACAAAGTCTGTGTATATGGTGCACAAAATTTTAATGTTTCATATTTTCGTGTTTTTTTTTTCATATATTTTATAGAATTTCATATTTTAAACAATTAATTGAATTCATTTCAAGTAAACAGAATTTGAGAAAGAGGTCCAAAGGCCACATTGCTAATATCAGATTAAAGAATTAAATAAGAAAGTTTTCCCGGCATTTAATTTCAATTGCATTGCCCTCACCCTAGGCAGATGCTTTGAACATATTTGTATCTGTTTTGAGGATACTTTTCTAAATTTCTTTGATTTCGGCTTTTCTAGTCTAAGATTTAAAAAAAAATATCCTGATATTTCTTCCTTTCATAACTTTTATATACTGTTAAAACTGCACACTATCGGCAGGGGTTATGATTTGAAGAAACTTGAGATAACCTTACATTCTATTTTCGTAAACCTTATCATAATATAAGTAATTTACAAATGGGTTTTAAATGAAGATGACGAAAGATTTTGTAACCGTGTAATGTACGTGTACAAATATTAACGCATTCAGTTTGTACTAGCAAAGTGTTTGCTTCCAAGGGGGGAGGGGGGGGGGGGGCTACAAAATTAACTTGACAGAGGAA